CTATATCTCAATCTAAATATTTGAGATGTTGTATGCACATTATATCATCAAGATAGTATTGAGATGTCGTATATCCAATCTATCCTCAAGATAATGCTAGGATTTTCATGCAACAGTTGAATTACTTAATTCCCCCTTTCTTGAATATCTGAAGTGTCATATGCTCAATCTATCATCAGTATAATATTGTAACTTTTAAGCAAGAAAAACTAAGCGTCGAGGCTTTCAAGGTGTCAATATATCACATGAATTTCAAACAATATACCCTACAATCCTAAGGTAAATCCTCATTTTCTCACAATAATCGTACTCATACAATTCCGATCATACACATTTAACTCATTAAGGACGATCATACAATAATTAATAACATTTTGAACATGCATCTGATTCCATAATTACTTACAAATGGGTATAAATCAATTTTAAACATATAAATAATATTATAGTTTAATATCACTTCACATAAATTTTCAAAACACCAAGTATTCATACAAAGAAATTACTAATCATCACAATATATTATGCATATTATATTTTCACAAAACTCATAGCTATCCAAATATACAAATAATAACTATTTAAATAAACAAATAAAATGGATTAGATATCCGATCACTTCAACCATTTTATCACAAAAAGAGTCACCGTGGCAATTTCGTCAACTCCTTTAGATTCTACTATGCAACAAAGTCTTATTAATATTTAATTTATAAGATTAAACGTTAATAATTAATTTTTAACTCTCAATAACCCCATTTTTAGCTTAAATTTGGATACTCACACTATCCAAAATTCCTTTTTAGCATAAATAACATTCTACTATATTTCATTAATTATATTTAACACCCAAACATTTAGATAACATTAAATTTCACTCACATTGCTCCAAATATTTGGATTTTTACTTAGAGTTTGTTTAGACCTTAATTAAAAATCTCAAATCACCATATAATCAGCAATCTTAGGTTTAAAAGTTTATTAGTTATCAATGTAATTTAGTTCAATTATTAATGAACCTTGGAGTAATTGATTTTTCTGTGTGGGACTTAATTGTAATTTTCACTTTTTTTTAATTATGTTTGGTCAAATGGTCTATGTTAAAATTTTTCAAAATAGAATTGATACTCGATTCACTGCTGGCAGGTGCATTGAGGTGATAAGAGTATAAAAGGTATTGAAATAATAATAACAATAATTTATTGATAAAATTTATTTTGAAATTATTTCTTATCATTAGGACAATGTAATTTACACTTCTTTAGTTATCAATTCGATCTCTCACATTTAATTTATAAAAATTTAATTTGCAATGTTTCATAAACTCATGTAAATCATCTAAAATCTCACAAGAGAAATTAACACTGTTAAATTACATTGATCTGGCTAATAGAATGATTATTTGGCAATAATATAAATTAATAATGTGAAAAGTAACAATATTGACTTGAATAAGGAAAAAACAAATTCGAGAAAAAGGCAGATATATTAAATTAAAAATTATAAAATAGTAAACAATTAGATCTAGGCAATTCGGCATGTGTATATGACTTAATGCACGTGAATTAATACACGTGTATGTTTTACATCAGCAATCTAATTTATATGTCAATTTTTTTAAGGGCTAATTTTTCTTGCAAAACTTATAAAAAAAACTTGATATTGAAGCATATTTTATGCATCGAAGTAATAAAAATTAAATTTGATGAATCAAACCGACAGCTCTTCCAAACATAAAGGGAAAAAATTGCATTTTCCTCTTATTATTTTACTATTTAAATATTCTTTCAATTAACAAGAGGTATTTTAAAAAAAATTAGATTTTAAAATTAAAATTTTAAAATGTACTGGATAATTGATTAAGTGTATTCACGATATTTAAGAACATGTTATTCTTTCTTACCACAATATACAATATTTTCTAAAAACTTTTTTTTAATTAAAATTTAAGATAGCAAATTATTGTTATAATTATTTTTCTAATTTTAAGTAATAACCCTAGTACCATGATACTCCATCCATTTCTATATATAAAAGAACAAAACTTCATCACATAATTTAAGAAAATTAGTCAACTATAATAATTATATTTAAAAATAAAAAAAGTGAACTAAAATGCCATGTGTTATCAAATAAGTATACATTAATTATTTCTTGTTAATGTAAATTATGATATGTGATTTAGGAAATGTATAAGAAATATTTATTGAAATAAGTGATTTTGTTTATAAAAAAATACAGTTAAAAGTAATAATTTTTTTAATAATAAAAAAACGGAGGGAGTATAGAAGGGTGTAATTGTTCAGTTGAAGAGTGGGGAATAAGTATGAAGCAATACATGGAGCAGTGAACTGGGGGTGGAATAAAAATGACGAACAATAATGAATGGGGAGGGAGAAAAGGGAGAATGGCTTATGAAAGGGTGGGAAGGGAAGGGGCATGATGTGGACCTTGGGGGGTGTAGGGAAGCAATCCTTCGGGCTCAGCATTTCGCTTCAGCAATGTTTTTAGAATTAAATCGAATATTAAATTGGATAAGGTAATAATTTACAGTTTAATGGTCGAATTGTGAGTTTGAAACATGGTCGGGCCAGTCTTTATTAAAATCTAAAATTTGTAATTTCGATTTTTTATATCACAAAGCATGGCAGATGCGGTCATGTGGGTGACGTGGAATTCACATTGGAAGATGTAAAAGTTAAATGTTGGGAGATGTGGTCTCTGAAATTATATTTTCAAAATACTAATTATTAATATTCAATTAATAATTTGGCGTTCTTTTTCTCTCTCCTGGTGCGACATTGCAAGCGTGTCTTTTCTACTCCCACATCTCGTAGTTGTATCTCAGCACCTCATCACAAGCATCGATCCTTAGCTAGTAAGCTTCTGTGCTCAACATTGTCGAGTCTTTCTTAATGTAGTTGATAATGGCCACAATTGATTTCGGCTCTCATCTTTGTTTATTGTGCACATTCTTTACCAATATTTCCTTCCCGCTAACAAAATATATAGAAATTTTATTTCTAATCTACTTCTTCCTCATAAAATAGAGACACACGCCCATGAACATGTATAGACATGTCAATACGGTATTCAAACCCAAAATCCTCTCAGAACAAGAGAGATGACATTGCTACCGAGACAATGTAATTAGCCATTGACGTCTCACTCACACAAAATATGAGTATACTTCACATTTAATAAATTACTTCTGCAAGGGGGTACATATACACGGGAATAAATGAATCTTCACTTTTTGGCTGCCGCTGCAGAAAATTGCTCCCCAACTCCTTTTCTTTCTTTCTTTCTTTCTTTCAATCCCATCTCCTCACTTAGATGATTAGACAAGAAATGTCTAAATTAATGTAAACCTTATTAAGTAAGATTATTATGACGGTCTCTCGGGTATTTCAAAAATATTTTACTATATTTATTTAACATAATTATATGTTCTAAAACTTAAACTCTCCCAACTAATTTAACCAAGTGTGACTTAGTAAAATAAATAAATAATGTTAAATCGTTAAAATTTAACTTTCATGATGTATAACTATAATAAAATAAATAGATAAAAAATTTAAACAATGATATACAATCATGAATTGTGCAGGTAAAATTTTAATGATTTAAATTTATTTATTTTTATATGATAATTGTTTATAATAAATTAAATTTATTGATAAAAAACAATTAAATATGAATTATTTATTTTGTTATTTAAGGGGTAAATGAGAAGAAGAAAGAAAACAAAGAGAGACGACTTGCTTTTCAAAATCAATCATGAGTCTAAAATTATCATTTTAAAATTTTTTATTCAAATATCTAATTTTTTTAAATATCATTTATTTTTTAAAACTCTGTTTGATATAAACTATTTTTTTCCCTCTAAAATCAATTCTTAGCATTTAGTAAGTATTTTTCATTATCTCCTTTGAAAAATTACTCAAATATTTTTAATTAATAAAATTAATTTTTAAAAAATATGATTTAAATATTATTATATTTTATTAATCAAATTTTTTTTGAAAAAAATAATATTTTAATTATTTAATTTTTAATTCACTTGTAACTTAATCCTTTAACTATAACTCGCTGTGACTCAGTCCCTAAATTATAACTCGCTGCGATTCAATTCCTCAACTTTTAATTCACTTATAATTCAGTCTTTATTTTTTAATTTTTTTAAAAAATTTATCAAATAAGATGGATAAAAAATGTTCATATATTACTCTAAAATACCTTCCTCTTGCTTATTGATGTGAAATATAGGTTAACATAAAAAAAATTAACAAAAGTTTAAGGATTAATTTGTAAGTGATTCAAAAGTTGAGAAAGTGAATCATAGGTGAGTCATAGTTGAGAAATTAAGTTATAGTGAGTCACAGTTGAAGAATTGAGTTAGAAATAAATTAAAAATAAAAAATTAAAAAATTATTATTTTTTAATAATCAACAAATCCAAGCACAAATGGACTGTGAGAGAATCCCCGAGGGCAGGGTGAAGGAAGGCATAAATCTCAAACGTGGGATCCCGAGTCTGACATGCTGCCTTGGAAATCACTGCAACCTCTGCACCAGCGGCGCCTCCTAGGCTTTTTTCTTCTTGATTCTATACCCACCCCCTTTTTGTCCCCACTCCCCACTCTCCGTCCACGCGCTCAGCGCCTGACTGTCTGTTCCTCTGCTTCCTCCCTATCTTCTCATTTTCTTCTTTCTAACCCGCCAAAATAGACCCCAAAGTCCCCAGCCCCAATTATTTTCGTTCACTCCCACCTGCCTTCTCCTGCTTCTTGCCACTCTCTCTCTCTCTCTCTCTCTCTTAAAATCAAAATTAATTCATCTTTCTTGTTCATTCCTTCCTGCTTCAGGCTTCTGCCCTTAATTGTGTCCAATCGCTTCCTTCTTTCTTCCAATACACTTTTTAAATGTAAATAAATAATAATAACACCCCTAGTCCCGAACAAAAATCTATTATATTATTTTTTCCGTACGAAGACCGTGCCTTATTATCCCATTCCACGGCTCTTCCAATTTGCATTAACTTTGTAGCGTGAGAACATTCTAGAATAATAGATACACCACTCCTGCACATTCAGGCCACGCGACGCCAGAGTCATATTTGATATTTTCCACGTCCCTTCTTTTCTGCTTTCCACTCCCATGTCTTCCTTTACCGGGACTTTTATTTCCATGATATATATCCAATTCTCGCTTTGGTTTTATGACTCGTCTCCTTCGTCTACCCCTTTTCCACTTGCAGTTTGACTCTGCCTGTTCCCTCCTCCGGATCTTGATCAACATCACACGCTCTCTCCCGCAGCTTTTGTGATTCAAGTCCTGCGCCACAATGCCTCGCCGCGGAGGCCGAAAGCAACCCGAAGCTCGCCCGCATCAATCGTCTCCTGCCCCGTCCCAATCTACCCGGGGTCGGGGTGTTGCTCGAGGCGGGCCGCAAGAGGGACCGGGACTCGGCGCTGCCCCTGTATCGGTGACGTCTGCTCCTCCGGCTCCGGCCATTGCTCCAGACGCTCCGAGTGATGAGTTGGGGCGGCTAACATTGCAGTCTCCGGCGCCCTCATCGTCAAAGGCCTCGAGATTTGCCGACCGACCTGATTTTGGCAGGATAGGGAAGAAAATACGAGTTCGTGCAAATCACATTCTCGTTAATGTTGCTGACAATGATCTTCACCAGTACGATGTGAGTAGAACCAACACTTTTTGTTTTAAAAGAATTAAATATCTCATTGATTATTTTGGTCACTGGTCAGTCTTCTTCCTTGTTTGCTTTCGCTTCATTAGTTTGTTAGCATTTCATCTCACTTTTTTCTCCCTTGCACGCTATTGATACTGACCAGTGCTCAGAAGAATTTCTGAGTATTGTCTCAATGTCTTGTGATTGGAGATCGCTTCGCTTATCTGATTACTACCAATTCATCCTGCATTTGAACTATTTTTGTCTCCTGATTGATTATTAATTTACATTGTATAACTGAAGATTCAAATGGTATGATTGATGACCTGTTACAGCTGCGTTTTATTACCCTACTTCGAGTTTTCTTTAGATGCTTGATTAAAGGATTCTGTTCCTTATCATGATTTTACACTGCATATCTTAAACTCTTCAATCTGTTTCGCAAGAATTTATAAAACAGGTGCTTCTGGGGGAGCCTGACAATTTGTTTTTGACATTAGGTATCCATAACGCCAGAAGTTACTTCGAAAAAGATCAATAGAAATGTGATGAATCAACTAGTCCAGTTGTACCGAGAGTCACACTTGGGCAAGCGTATACCAGCTTATGATGGCCGGAAGAGTCTTTTCACAGCAGGCCCTTTGCCCTTTGACTCAAAAGAATTTGTGGTCAAGTTGGTAGACAGCGAAGAACCCGATGATTCTTCTGGTTCAACGAGGTGTGTTTCTTCAAGTGCGTGGATATTTTATAAATAAATCAGACCTTGTCTTATAGTACCATGTTTGTTGCTTTGATGGATAATTCCTACTTGAAACACAGGAAAAAACGTGAGCGCCAGTTTAAAGTCACGGTTCGTTATGCTTCTAAGGCTGATCTCCATCATCTGTGGCAGTTTCTAAGACGTCTACAGCTGGACAATCCACAAGAAACTATTCAAGCACTTGATGTGGTGCTGAGGGCATCGCCATCTGAAAAGTTAGAGGGCATTACTATATCTAGTTTTATCAGTCGTGTGTGCATTGTCGTGTCAATCTATTGCTTTATTTTATGAAGTGACCTCGCGAACCTTATTGCCTGTAGGTATACTGTGGTCGGGAGATCTTTTTTTTCACCTAGTTTGGGTCAACCTGGCGAACTTGGTGATGGGATAGAATACTGGAGAGGATATCATCAAAGCCTTCGCCCGACCCAGATGGGACTTTCCCTTAACATTGGTTCTGCCTTATTCTATGTTTATGATATTTTTTACCCATTAACCATATCTGTAGAGTGATTCGTGTTCGGATTTTACGTTAGTTGCTTGTCTTTGACCAGTAGTGATAATCCTCATGTTGCAGATGTATCAGCAAGGGCATTTTATGAAAACATTTTTGTGACTGAATTTATTGCAAAGCACTATAGTTTTAATTTTTCAAGGCCTCTGTCTGATCAAGAAAGAATCAAGGTATTTATATCTGATTCTACGATGTTGCTTTAAGAGTACTGAGGATATAGGTTTTCTGCCAAACATTGATGCGAAATTAATGCTCGTGTCCTCTTACGGTACACTCAGGTTAAGAAAGCTTTGAGAGGAGTTAAGGTGGAATTTACTAATGGTCAGTGTACTCGAAGTTACAAAATAACTGGTGTCTCAAGGGAACCACTGGGCGAGTTGAAGTGAGCTTCTTGCATTTTAGCTTTTTATTGTTTTTACCATTTACTTTATCTAGCGGTGTTGATAAATTAATGGATCACTTCATAAATGGAAAGTGAGATAAAGTTTTAAGCTAATAAAAATTTAATTTTGTGGCATTTGCTATCTCTGAAATGAGAAAATTATATTCTGTTTGAGCAAGTTTATATAGCAAGAGACTGGAGATGTCATTTCTTCGTCTGAATGAATTTTGTTTATATTTGTATGAATGCATGAGTCTGCCTTGCTTAATCTAATCTGGAATTTGTATTTTGGTGTTTCATAGGTTTACTCTCGATGACCAGAGAACAAAAATAACCGTTGTTCGATATTTTCGTGAGAAATACAATGTTGAGCTCAAGTGTTTGGCCCTTCCTGCCCTCCAAGCCGGGAGTGACACAAAACCTATTTATTTGCCCATGGAGGTTTTTCTCTTCATTTTTTCTGATGCTTATCGTGCCTTATTGGTTCTGCGCTAGGCTTCCAGCTTGTTTAAAATGTTTTCCCCTCACATTGTAGCTTTGCAAGATAGCTGCTGGCCAACGGTACTCAAGGAAACTGAATGAGAAGCAAGTAACTGCACTTTTGAGAGCAACCTGTCAACGACCATTTGACAGGGAGAAGGACATTAGAGAGGTGAATTTGTTTTGTGTTTGATATTATATGTTATAGTGTATTGTTTTGGGTTTGATATTTAATTTTACTGCATTGCAGATGGTAAGACGTAACAGTTTCAACAGAGACAAGTTTGTGCGTGAATTTGGAATTCAAGCGAGTGAAGAATTAGCATTGTGTGACGCACGTGTTTTGCCTCCTCCAAGGGTATAAATGGGCTTGTACTTGATAGACGTGAATGAAAATTATGTTTCCTTTATTTGTCTCTTTATTCTTTTTTTAATTACTGCAGCTCAAATATCATGAAACTGGGAAGGAAACAATGGTTGAACCGTATAGGGGTCAGTGGAATATGATAAACAAGGTGAAGCGATAGTTGTTTCTGCTAGTGTTGTGCAAAACCCTGCCTGAAGTTAATCATCTGGAATTGTTGAGTTCGTAGAATTTCATTCCTTTTCATATAATCAATAGGCAACTTTTACGTGGCTCGTTGTCTTTAGTCTAAGGGTAACGCTATGATATGTATAATTAAATGAAAAATGACGAGAATAACCTATTTTGGTTCTGTGTTTAGTTCCTCGATCTCTGTTTTGTTTCGAGACAGAAATAATCTTTTTTGGTTATTTCATTGCACTACTTTTTTCTGTCAATTTTGCAGAAAATGATAGATGGTGGGAACGTGCAACATTGGACTTGTTTAAGCTTTTCTACTAGAGTGAGCAGAGATTTGCCTTTTCAATTTTGTAATGAGTTGGTAAATATGTGCACCAGCAAGGGAATGGTAAGTTTTTTATGCTGTCCCATTGGTTGACTATATCCGGTCCCAATTCACGAACCATGTCATTTTTTCTGATTTGATTGTGTTAGGTTTTCAATCGAACCCCTTTACTTCCTATAAGGTCAGTTCATCCTAGTCACATTGAGGGGGCTCTTAGAGATGTTAGCAAGCAATCTAGCAAGAAGCTTCAGCTGTTGATTATAATCTTGCCTGACATTAAAGGTTCTTATGGTGAGTGTTTGGGTCTAAAGTAAATTGGAAGCTCAATTTGATTTAGCCTATTGCTTAAAATGTCACGTGGTTCTTGCAGCAAAGATTAAACGCATTTGTGAAACAGAATTGGGAATAGTGTCTCAATGCTCTCAGCCCAGGGAAGCTTCAAGGCTACAAAAGCAATATCTTGAAAATTTGGCCCTCAAGATCAATGTTAAGGTCGGTTTTATCTTATACGTGACAACCAGCTTAAGGAGTAACTAATTTGATTATTTCTACATTGTAATTTAAATATTTGATTGTTTATTATATAGGTTGGGGGGCGCAATACAGTGTTAATGGATGCAATTCAGAGAAGAATTCCTCATGTGACTGATCGCCCTACTATAATATTTGGTGCGGATGTAACACATCCACAGCCAGGGGAGGACTCGAGCCCTTCTATAGCAGCTGTAATCTTTCTTATTCCATGCAAATTTTATATACACAAGCAATGTTAAAATTTATATCTAAATGTTTGTTTTGATTATTGAGTAAAATGTTCAGGTAGTAGCTTCCATGGATTGGCCTGAGGTCACTAAGTACCGCGGAATTGTTTCTGCCCAGTCACACCGTGAAGAAATTATTCTAGATCTTCATAGAACTTCTCAGGAACCTGGTAGGGGAGTTGTACAGGGTGGAATGATTAGGTAGGGGTGAGATGCACATTCATACTGTCACGATTGTCGGGAGTCTTGACTGGTTCATGCTGTTTTGATTTTTGTGCAGAGAGCTACTTGTTGCATTCTTTAGATCAACCAGATTGAAGCCAGACAGGATTATATTCTACAGGTATATGTGGTTTAAGAGATGCATGCGTTCAGTATGCTATTTATATTTAATCTTTTGCCCCTTTTTAATTATATTTCTTTCTTCAATTTCAATTTTGGCTTGGAAGAGATGGAGTTAGTGAAGGCCAATTCAGTCAGGTTTTACTTCATGAAATGGAAGCTATAAGAAAGGTATGGGCAATAGACGACGTGAATTTGGTTGAAGTTACTGAGGATTGGGATTTATCTTACAAGAATAGAGCAGAACAATAGGATGTCATGTTGAATGAACAAGAACTTTAAGGCATATTGGTTGTCGACAAGGAAAAAAGTTGCTTTGCTTATACAAGAATACATGAAGCAGTCAGTACATGGGCTACAAATTTACCAAATTTCTTTTTTTCTTTTTATGGCGTATCAGGCTTGTGCCTCGTTAGAGGAAGGATATCTGCCAAAAGTAACCTTCTTGGTGGTACAGAAAAGACATCACACCCGTTTTTTTCCTGATCATAATAATCGCGATCAGACTGATAAAAGCGGAAATATTTTGCCAGGTTAGATTTTCCTTGCATTAAAGCCTTGGTTTTTTTTATTTTTAAAAAAACCAGAATGCTATTTTGTTCTGATGCGTGGTTTTGAATTTCCTGCTACTCTTCACTTGCATAAGTATAACTCTTTCTTAAGTTCTATATGGATTACAGTTTAGTTTCAGCTTACTGATTTGGTGTTACATGTCCCATCTATCAAGGCACTGTTGTCGATACTCAGGTTTGCCATCCCAGAGAATTTGACTTTTACCTCAACAGCCATGCTGGCATTAAGGTGATGTTATCAATTAAAACTGCACCAGTTGGCTGTGAATTGTTGAAAAACTGATATTTATTGAAGTTTTTAGGTTTGATGATGCTATTTTTTTGGATAAAAAAGGGGCAAAGCCCAAGCACGGTTTGATTATATTATTTGCGTTGTGAAACAGGGAACAAGCCGACCTACGCATTATCATGTACTATTTGATGAGAACAACTTCAAGGCTGATGAGCTGCAGACTTTAACAAACAACTTGTGTTACACGTACATTTCAATTCTAACACTTTTGTTCTAATTAGCTCCCCCCTCTTGTTTTTCCCTTTTTTGATTCGGGTTAGTTGAGGGGTAATGACTTACTATGGTTTTATTAATTACGTTCTTTTCCTTTCAGATATGCAAGGTGCACTAGATCGGTGTCAATAGGTATTTGTAAAAGGGGGAAAAAGAAAGAAATTGGGTTGCCTTTTGATTGCTGCTTTAGTTCTCCAAATTACCTTCTAACTAAGGAAGATTGTTTATTGCAGTTCCTCCCGCTTATTATGCCCATTTGGCTGCTTTCCGTGCTCGCTACTACATTGAAGGCGAGACATCGGATGTTGATGCTTCAAGTGGAACAGGAAGTAGGAGCACTAACGTTGTGGTAACTCTTCCGACAATCAAGGACAATGTCAAGACGTCATGTTTTACTGCTAACGCTGCTCAAGTTTAGTAATTTTGGTTTAGACTATGAGATGTAGAGATCAACTCATGCTTTTTATTTGTATGTAAAGCTGGTTTTAGTTATTTTGGGTAAGATTATGAGATGAAGAGACCACCTCGTGCTTTTTTTTAAGTATGTGCTGTCAACTTTTTGTGATTTTGGGCAGTTTAGGTGGGCCTTTCTTCTATCTGAGGAATGACTTATCCTGGTTGTTGTTTATCTTAAATATTTTACGTTTCATATGTTATTTTGTTGGCATGTATTTAAATTTTTTGAGAGGTGACTGAAAAGGAATTAATATAATTTTAAGGAAAATAAAATATGCTAGTTATGAATGGAACTTATTTAGTAGCACCTTTTAAAATTCTATTTTGATTTGATAGGAAAGATTATTAACTTGATTTATTTTAAAGGGAAATTGACATAAATTTAACATAAGCAAATGAAAAGATAGGATTGCAAAATGAAATAATTATTTTATGTTATGTTTGAATATATATGAATTTAAATTGGTAACAAATTTATTGTTTAGATAATTAAAAATTTTTAAAATTTAGTTTCACTTTAAAATCTTTGTAGTTTGATTTTTTTTTTAAATTTTTATTATTTTAAATCTTAATTCAATCACATTTGTAATTTGATTTAAATTTATAAAGGCTTGATTTGCTTATCAACGATAATTAGATTAGATTGTCAAAATTGATGAAATTAAGTTATCACTATTGATTGGGATTGGATAGTAAATTTTTATTGAGATCAAATTGACAGTGATAACTACGATTGATTTCTATCGAGATTGGACTGACAGTGAAGATAGGATCGACTTTCATCCGGACTAAATAGTTGGCTTTCATTGGGTTCGGTCTCGATGTGGAAGTTTGTCGCTTGTCGATTGGTCTTGATAGTTGCCGTCGGTTCGATCCTAACAAAAGTTGGTCATTTGGTTATCATCGATTAGGTCTTATTGAAAGTTGATTGTCCGATCTTAATGAAAGTCGGTTTGATCTCGATGGAAATTAGTCGACCTATTTCAATTGTTGTTGGTGCTACAATTCCAATTGACTTTGACTGTTTAATTTAGATAAAAGTTGACCATTTGAAGTGTCGATTTTGACTAGTCATCCAAGTTTCTTTTATATTTAAATATAGAATTTAAAATTTAAAATTTTACATTACATAAAAAAAAATTAATTCTATAATTTAATTTTTTTATATTATCCAATAAAGAATTTAGAATATATGAATTTTAAATGTGAGATTTTAAATTAAAATTTTTAACTTAAATTCATTCATCCAAACACAACCTTAAAGTTTGAGAATTTATTTGACCTTAGTTTATTTGTTAACAAAAAATCTATAAAGGTAAATGAAAATTTAAGTGATAAATGATTATTTATTAAGTAATTAAGTGATTAAAATAGTGCAGAAAATAATTATTTCCTCTGTTAAAATGTTAAAAATATAGGCATTTTTATTGTATCATGCTCTTATTTAATAGTGTCAAACTGAGAGATGAATGTTTGTGAAAGATATTTTTGAGAAAAGCACATTTGAATACATCTTAAAATATTAAAAATTTATTATATTTTTAAACATTTTATCCTTCAAAAAATACCTTTTATTTTTTTAATGGAGGGAGTAAATGACTGTTCTCATTAAGATTAAATTAGTGTTGGAATTTTTGATCCCACTTCAATTACTTGCCTAATTAGAGTAGTCATTTATTACTCTTGTTGTTTATATTTGGAAGTATAGTTATCATTTTGATGAAAAAAATACAAATATTAGATAAGTTTCTAGGGTGCCAAAACAATTACCTCATTGGTTCTCTATTGTCATTTAACTAGTGGGATTTACTTCTCGTTCATCCTAATTTAAACTTAAATGTATGATAATCCTCGTAATTATATGCAAGTTTAAATAAAATATTATTTAATATTACCTCTTAAATATTTTTAAATGGGTAATAGTGATACAAATATTCATAAACGAAAACTAATTTCACAAAGCCCTAAACCCCAATCGATAACGTGACTTCCGCAAAGGCTGAAAAGAGGCGCAAATCCGGAGCTGGATAAAATGGATCCTGTTTAGCTAAATGCAAACAAGAACTACCTTGCTAGGAAAGGCAGAGCCAAAAAAGTAACAACTACATGGGGAAAAAAGATATACCCATTCATCCTCTCATTCTTTTGTATCACTTTTTCTCTCTATATCCCCAAACACGAATGACAGGAAATGATGCAAATTAGAAGCCACAATCAAAATAATAAAGACGTGGTCTTGCCGAGTGCCACAATTAATTACCGGCAAGAGAATAATATACAAAAAAGGAAAAAGAATAATAATTGTGAACCCAATCCCACATGATGTGCTACAAAAATACAATGCAGCTTATCAGTGTTATGTGCATCATGAAAGCCAAGATTCCCGCCTTTATCCCGTCACGTAAAGAAGTGCTGCCACTGAGCTCTCCTGCATTCACATACTCACTTCTGCCCGTGCCAGTTGATGCTGAGACATTAACCGACAGAGAACCTAATTTGATAAATTCAAATTGCAAAAATTAGAAACCTATGTTAATAGATAAACATTAGCTTGAACCTGAAGCAACTTTTAAAATGTAGCCAAGTCATCATGGCATCTAATGCGATGACTTTTTTTTTTTAAAATAAAATGAGCACGCTTATACTAAAACATAGGTTAAGAGTCTTTAAACGATTTTATCCTCCCCACCCCCAGATATGATTTCTTAGTTGAGGGATGGGGAGAGAAAAGGAATCGTTTGCGAGTTGGGAGGCTCATGAAATTATATACATTTGTTGTTTTCCAAAATGCCATACAGAACACGGCTTTCTGGCAGTGTAGCTGAAACTTACAATCATAGTTAGCCCATCCAATGCGTTGACCACCCAGATCATAAACTAAAATTTTGTCTTTTAACACAAGATCTGCAAAATCAAAATTGGAATGTTGTCAGCATCTAAATCTTGAAGGAGAAGATATTGGGATGTATTTCAGATGATAAACAATTATTGACCCACAAGCTGGTTCGATCTTCTCGCAGGTTATGCCTATTAATAATATACTAGAATGAACAGCCGGCAACAAGACATATTAACCATTGACCATAGTGGCATTTTACCTCCCAATATTGTTATCCCTTGACCCTGGATTTTTTGAAAGCCAATACACCACATTGCTGCACCACCCTGTAAGACATATTAACCATTGCACTTGATGACATGCAGTAAAATATGAAAGGAGATAAGAAATGGAGTTAGAGAAAGCTGCCAGTGATGTTGGGAGACCCAACAAGGAGCACCAGCTCTGAATAGTAAGGTATCAGACTTTAGATTGAAGAGTTGTAAGAACTTGAATCAAAATGGGGTTTTTCTCATTATATCCAAAAAGAGAGCTAGCAAAGTTCAAGATTTAATTCTATGTACATAGAAAGTAAAAAAGGAACACCTAATTTGGTGATATAATGCACCGCCAGGCATTATTAGATGATTTAGATTTTAGATCTATACGAGAGATCATTGTGGCCATTGCCTTGCAGAGAGGCACGTGAAGCACCTTTAGAGACTGACTAAAGTAATATCAAAATTCAACTTTTTAGAGGCAACCAGTGGAAGTAAAGGAAAGAATTAAAATAGTTAAATATACAATTCTTCATCCACAGGCAAATGCAACTCACTCCAACTTGAATTAATTGTGTTCGTAAATCGTCTATGCCAGGCTATTCCTTAGAAAATTGAAGCTCGAATACTTACAATTGAAGTCTGCTGTATGAGGTAGTCCTGTGGCCTTAAAACCATAGACGCGCCACCAGCAAAGTTCAGACTTACCAGAGGAAAAATATCAGAGATGCTAAACACAGAATAAACAAAGGAAGCGTCAGGATCATCTATTTTGAGGAACTACCATAAATTTATGGATGGGAAAAGGGGGAAAACTCAGGTAAAGATGATGCATTGCATGTTCAACCTGGCGGTGATTAAGTAGCATTGGTTTCCCCGGGAAAGAACAGTTCGTATGGATTGTGGAACTGTAGCTGTAACCTACGTGAAACAAAATCATTTTTGACATCAAATATTGCTAAAACCTCTGCCAAGTAATAAGCATGATTTTGATTCATGAAGCAGCAAAGCTATTTCTAGCATTGATAAACTAACTCGCAAGAAATTAAGAAACTCACCGCACTGACAAAGGGATCATAAGCCTCTTCTGCAAGGTATGCCAATGTCGTTCCAGAATCAATAATGGTACCTCGGTTGCTTGATGTTGCAAAAACAGATGAATCAATTGATAATACTTGGCCATTGACAGAGATGCTCTGCAGATTTAAATTGTAATGAGGCCTGAAATATTAGACAAAGAAGCAGCTAGTCATAATGCTATTCTCAGATAAGATTCTTGAGTCCTTTTAGTACAGGCACCATTTCTATGTAACGAATAAATAATCAAATTCCTATTTGACTTTTGTCTAATATTTAAGGACACAGTTATGAATGCACATATTTGGTAAAAAGATAGTAATCTTTGACTGTATCCTAATATCCAAAATTGCGCCTGAATTGTTATCATTAAATTTCAAGAGTTCTCCAAGCACTAGATGACACCCAGAGGTGGTTGAAAATTATCCAAAACCACAGCAAAAGGTTAGTTTGGCTTGATTATCAAGCGATGCAACAACAACAACTACGCAAGTAGGAATTCTCATATGGCAGGGGCTCTGATTCATTTCCTTGCATATGCTATTTTCAGCACTGTTCAGACTTAATCCATTCTTGAGTAAAAAGATAAATAAGAGCCAATCTAGCACAGACTAAATGTAATATTGAACTTCACTAAATTAAAATCGGTGCATCATGATTCCCACACACACCCCTGTAGGTTATAACCACCTTTAGACATTACTTTCTCAGAGTCAAATTCCTAAGCAGTCTGCCAGACACGTCCAACTTTCAAGAACAACAGATAATTGAAACTTCATTTCAATTTATTAGAGGACTAAATGATGTCCACAACAGCAAATGACTTTCAGTATAGAATATTTTCCATCCATCAAGACAATTGGAACTTCTATTTGGTATATAGAATAACTCCCAAGTTATATGTCATCCAAAAACCAAGGGAATTGATCGAGAATTTGGATTTATAAGCAAAATTTATCATCAATAGGAAGATCATATACTGGAATTTCTTGAAAACCGTTACTAAAATTACAAATTGGTACATGAG